TACAGCATAGAGGTGACTAATCATGATTGCTTGAGAGTTGCTCTCAAATGTTACTCCTACACTTTGCTGTAAGTAGGAGTAAGCTGTTTGATAAATGTATCTTCTTCATACACAGCAAAGAAACTTTTTACACCTAATGTGATTGTTAGAAGTTTGATAAATCTGTGTGATGAAAGGAAAATGAGAGTTGGGACAGTGTGGCAGTGTAACATAGCCAGAGAAAGATCACATTAGACCTGTGATCCGCAGTGAAAACAGGTTTCTCGGCTCTCTTAACATCTGCTGCGTTTCACTCTACTTATTATTCTAAGGAGTAATCAGTGTGCAGGCTTTCCAAACAGACCTGATTGTTTGAAGGAACGTTTCCTCTACTGCCGAGCTGAATTGGCTCCAGGCCTTTTGCAACAGCGCTGATGATGAAATGCCTGTTCCAGTGAAACTGTTACACCAAAAGGAAAATGTCAAAAGGCCACAGTGAATCATAATCCTGATGAGCCAAAAACCTCCATGAGGCCTATGGCTGCTTTTACATCACTCAGTTGGCAAAGGCACGGAGATCTCCTCCGGTGCTGACATTCGCTATACAGCGAGTGACTCCAGATATGCTTTAATCTCCATACAGTTCAAATCCACAGTATGGGCAAATACGGCTTCAGAACTGCGAACAGGCCTCTAACACTTCTGTTTAAAACTATGCAAAATAGCTGTATCAGTCTTTGTTGTCTCTTTGCTTTGCAGACTTGTTTGTAGAGGGTTGGTAAATAATTGATTCACTGTTGTTTGGTCCCATGGCAGTTTTTCCAGTGTATCCATTATCTCTCTATCATAGCGCTGACAATGAGTGCGTATGTTGGTTAGCTGTCATGCAGGGCGTAAACCCAAAGTGCTGCCTTACAGCTGATTTCTGTTCTGGTGGAGGACTCTATATCTGTATCAGATGTTTGACTTGCTAGCACTTCCTGCTGCCATCTTTAAGGCAGCCCCAGGTTGTGGCGGGTTGCTGCCTAACATCTTAGACCCAACGGCATTGTACATTCATAAAATATTAATAACTAGTACTAGTAGTTGTGTGCATCTCTCCCTTCTAAGAGGATCTGATATATACCTTGATACATGGCCTACTATACAATTCAGAGACAATTCATTTTAATATGGAACAATTTCCGTACATAATTCAGCTTTAGCCTAGTTGGCTAGCTAGCTGAGCAGGTGAAGCAAAACAAAATCTTTGTTTTTTTTTGTGTGTTTTCAGTTGACATTCTAGGGAATGTAGTAAATCACTAACTGCTGACAGGCTCAGCCACCGTGCCATTTAATCTAAATAACAGAGAGATGGATTCTTCCAGTTAAGCAGTAGCGATTGAATGGCTGCCAAGCGCAGACCAGGCTTTGTGTAACTTCTTGGAAAAGGCCCTCAATGACGCTTGCTTTGTAACGATGAGTCATGTTTGGAGCATGAAGGAAACAGGAAGATTTGATCTTGGATATCAAGGGCTGACAAAATGGCGGGAGGGTCAGGTGATCAGAGTATTCATTCCTGTGTAAAAAAAACAAACTGTAATACACCTGACATGTTGGAAATGGTTGGTGAGAGCTTGGTGACATAAAATGCTGCCAGCAGACGGCGAGCTGGCCTTCTTGCTGTTGGACCAGCCAGTAATATTAGCTGGCTTGTTGCTGCACTTGTGTTTTGCTGTGTGTCGACTCGCTTGTTTTTGATGATATGCACTCTGAAACTTTAAATGACTCCAGTTGCAGTCACACCTAATCCTCTTATCCAACGGTTTCCTTGTCAGCTCATTTCTGCTCACCCTGCCTTATAAAACCTTTGAGTGCAGTCCAGTGACACTTTATTCTCTCTCCAGATTGAACTTGTTTAAATTTTGCCTCATGGCTTTGTGTAGTAAAGAGTGACAGCTCATCAAAACTGACCTGTGAATCACTTCCCTGTCGGGCCACATGACTTTGTGTTTAACACTTTTGGTGTGTTTATAATAAGGCAGTGTTGTCACCCACTTTATGCAGAGGTTGGGCGGCTGTGTGGAGGTTAGAAACAGCCAGGGTTTCTCCCTCTAGCTTTTTTTTCATTTGTTACACAGCTGTTTATGTCAGTTCTCATGTGGGTTTAAGGTTGTCTTCCAGAAGAGGCTGTCGGCTGTGTGTGCCGTGGTAGCTCACCTGGTAAAGCCCAAGGCTGAGTCCCTACTGCAGCAGCCTGGGTTCAATTTCAGCCTGCAGACCTTGGCTGTATGTCGTCCCCTCTGTCTCTCCCCACTTCATGTCTCTGTTGTGCAGTCCTGTCCACAACAGGCATAAAAGCTTGAGTTTGTCCGACAAATAAGTGTAAGTTAACATAATTAACAGAACAGAAAATTAAAACAGGAGCAGAACACAAAGTAGGAAGGATTCTGACTAAAAATAGAAATAGAAGCCTGTTTCTAATAAAGGTCTGGTTCTCACTGCAGCTGGGATAGGTAGCTAGGTAGTTTAAATTTATAAGGAGTACGGTCTAGACCTGCTTTATTTAAGTGTCCTGAGAGAAATTTCATCATGAATTGGCCCTATACAAATATAATTGAATTGAATGGATAGATAGATGGATGATAAACTGGTGAATAGCCCGCTTTACCTGGCAGTGTTGCAGCTTTTGTTCCCACTGGGGCCATTAGTAAAGATTGTATTATTTTATTTTATAAGTGAGAGTAAATTGCTAGAGAACATTGCATGTGAACTGCCAGAGAATGTGTCCATGTGGAAGTGGAGCTTTAGACTACAATCACTGGCACCATATAATTCCAGGTTGTGGATCTCAACTGTTAGCCTTTGCTAAAATCAAGTCGATCGGGCTTTAATGGATTTGTGCAGAGACGGCTGGTGTCTGAGGACCTCTTACCTACTTATTACTGAGCAGGCAGACCATTTCCACAAAACTTGTTGGCCAATTAACGCATGCAGTGCAAAAATAACACTCAAAACGGCTGAGCGAGAATCGAGCGGCTGAGTAATCATGAAAGCTACCAACACTAAGTTGTGCTGGAGCAGGAGAAATATCCTCCTGATGCTCGCTATGCACAGCTTTGTTCGATCCTGTGACACAAAAACAGAAGGAGGCATTCCACACACTCACACACACGCACTTTTTGGATCAGAATGTCCTTCATATGTACACACACACACACACACCAGAACTGTAGCTCTACTCAACACACAATGGGCTCTTTGAGAGGCTTTGGACTTTGGAATACAATGCTCTAAACATCTGTAATCCCCTCTCCAAATGGACAGAGCGCCAAAAACACATACACTTTGGTCTTTCTATACTTGTGAGGGCCCTTACTGACAACGTATACCCTAGCCCCAATACCACATGTTTAAAACCATACAATCTCTATTAACTATACATTTGATAGTATCGGAAGCTGTAAAAAAAAACAACTACATGATCTATAATCAGATTTTTGTGTGCCTAGGACTTTCAAACAGTCTTTTGTGAATAGTGAGGACCTGCCAATATGTCCTCACAATGTAGAAATGTCCTCATTACAATGGTTGAAATTGGTCCTCACAAAGTAAAAAATAGAAATACAAGTATCCCTCTTAGACACACACACACGAATCAAAACATTTTGCTGTAGTTAGCCATCTATTACAGACTTGTAAGCATGTGTTCAGGCTCTGTTTCAGTTTCTTTTTCCACCCAGATGTCAGGTGAATTTTACACAATCCTTCAAATGTTAGGGGAAAATGCGATGTAATTGTGTTTCCATTAGTTGACACAAATTATTTGGCTTCCTGAAAGTCCAAAAAAAGACAGAGTACAGGAAAAAGTCTTTCAGTCCACTAAGGTTAGCGTGTATTGGAAAGGTTGCTGGAGTCTTTTTGTGTCAACTAAGACTGGATGATTTCATACTGCCATCAAAAGAGAAAAACAAAGACGTGTTAATGTACTTATGTTGTACACTAACACGTGTACAATATAGGTGTTTAGTAAGCTACGATCTACCAGCCAGACTAAACAGTGCTTTCTTTAGAGTTCCTCCCCAGCTGTCCCTCAGTAGATTTACTGTGAACACAATTCAAAGTCAAGTTGCAGCACATATCCAATTTATTTATTAGAAGTCATTCCCAACTTAGACCTGACATCCTCAGTGCTTTAGGATGTGGTGTATTAAGGACAGTTGCAGAATGCTGGAAGATTGATTTCTATTTCTTTAATTTTTTTAAAATCCTGCCAATGTTAAAAAAAGAAATTTCACCAAACCTCTTTGAAAACATTTTGTCCTAGAAACATAAAAAACTCCCTCCAAAACCTTCAACAGTCCACTTTAAAATGTATGAAGTAAATATATTTTGTCTAACTATATAAGGAGAATAACAAGAACAAACACGCAAAAGGGTTAGATTCAAAGCGGTCCATATGAGGCAAGAAAACATGTGAAAAGAGCCATAATGACTTTCCACACTGACACTGCAGCATGTTGACACCTACTTCATTGTTGTCACTCAAAAACTCTTAGGCTTTAGTAATCAAACCACTAAATGATTTAATCACCTATATGTAGCCAACACCTGTTTACGAGGGGCAGAGCTCAAAGGTCTTGGCCAGAAATGTTTATAGTCCATATCTGTTTTGTTGAATAAGTTTTTAAACATTTTTAACTTTTTTAAGCATCAAACAGAAAAAATAAGCAATAATAATTTTTATGGCAGTGGTTTTGTTCATTTCTGCATTAATATTTGATGCTTCATATACATATAGTGTTGAATATGTGTTGCCCTGAGGTTGTGAACACTGCAGTTTGGCCTTTACATGTCAGTTTTCCATATTGTGAATTGATCTGTGCTCGATGTCTCAGGTCTGTGTTTTAAAGCGATGAACAAGGAGTTCTTATACCAAGGTGTGACTTATAATGATCTTGGCTAGTTTGCTAGCCTCATTCAGGCCAGGCTTTGGCTTTTCTGAGCCACCTTTATGAACCTGACCTTTGGTCTCTCTGTAGATGACGTATCGGCAGACAGCAGCGCTGAGTTCCCCGACCGAACCTCTATGATGGAGGTGCGTCTGCAAGCGCAGGAGGATGAGATCACGCTGCTGAAATCCTCACTGGCTGACGCCCTGCGCAGGATCCGCCTCCACGATCAGCTCTTACCATTACTGAAACAGCAGCTGGTTGCAGGTGAGTGCTCTATCTATATCTACATGCTAGATCTGCTCTACAGCATTATGGTACATTGGATGGTACAACAGTGCGCAGTGTTTCCACTGTGGCTATTTTTCCTCTTGGTATAATTAGACATGCAAAGATAGTTGCATGTGCACTATATTAGAAGCTGTATGTTATGTTAATGGACCGGTTTAGGATTTAGTTTCATCTAGTGATGAAGTTGCAGTTGGCAAACCTCCTGAAACCCATCGTCTCAACCTACGTTGACCGCGAAACTCACAAAAACTGCAAAACGCCCTATCTAGATCCATTTGTTAGTTTGTCTGTTCTGAGCTACTGTAGAACTATGGTTGACTCCGCCAGAGAGTGCAAGAATATCCTCTGTAGATAAAATCGGCTCACCTATGAATATTATATTCCATTTCTAACAATAGATCCTAAATGTTACACACTGCACCTTTAAACTTTTGATGTAATAAATGTTCATACATTTTTAAACATTTTCTCATGGATTGTGGTTGTTGAGCTGAGCTGAAAATAGAACTGTTCTAGCATACCAAAAAATCTTAAAGTACAGGTGACATGCAAAAGTCAAATTGTGTGCACAAATTAGTCATTCCTGCTCCTGATAAAAAAATCTGTAATTTATTCTCTTGCATTAGTGTGAAGGTACTGTAGCAGCAGTTCCAGGTTATTGTTGTGGCTAGTGTGAGTCAGTTTAGCCGTGTTTCCACCAACCACTCACAGTATAGTACCGTTGAAACCCTTACCTACACGTACCTAAACCATAGATCTGTTTTGAGTTTCCACCACAGATACTAAATGTAGGCGGGGTTCTTACCAGGGCTAACTCCCTTCACATTTCCAGAAGTTGGGAAACAACAGAGAGACTTTTTTCAGCGTTTCTTAAACCGACACACTGTGGCCTACACTGCTTTTACAGTCAGATTGACAACTTATCCTTTCTCTCTGCTCCACTCCTATTCACAGTCATTTTTCTACTGCTAACAGCAGTGTAAAAGTTGTGTTTGGTGTTAAGGTGCTTATGTACACTGAATGAATGAAATGAAACAGTGTGTGTCCAGCACACACAAACATACAAACTCATTCACACAAACTCACACACAAACTCCTGTTCATTTATTTCCAAAACAGTGTAAATAAAAAAAAATTGAATTGTGGTGGTTGACAGATTTTTATAATCACATGTTTCTGCAATTACCAATCAACCTATGAATTTTAATTTTAAAATTTTGATAAAATCATATAAATGATATGAATGAAAAAATTATATGGTGTTAAGTAATATTTATATGACCTAGTTTTGTTTAAAATATTGTTGTATTGCCATTTCCGGCCCTCCATCATGAGAACAGGCTTCGGGCCTTCATCTGTTGTTTGGCTGTGAACAACAAAGATGATATAAACTGATCATATGAAAATGTTCCACTGAGAATGGACTTTACAGTGAAGTAGGAGACATCTTGTGTACAGCAGGAAAACTTTAGAAACAAACAAGATTTGCATAGTCAAGAGATTCTGGAAGTTTTAATGAGGTAGAAGGGGTAGTGGACTAGGAGGGGGTCTAAAAATGTATCTACTGTTCGGGAAAAAGTGACTGCAGCACATACAGAGTTTGCCAGTATCACTAAGAAATAACTAATAATCAACTGTAATCCCACCCAGTGAACCCGGCTGCTGCACGAGTGCTGAACCAAGTGTGCTGCTCAGACAGTTGTACCGGCGCCAGAAAACTGTCCTCCAGCTCTGCCAGCGACGGGATCCGTCACCCTGCTACCAGGTACTGGACCTACACGCCAAGGGCTTCAGAGGACAGGAGTGGTGATGAGGGGCCAGCATTGTTGTGTTTCACTGGATGTATAGACATATTGCTTGCTACATCAGACGCATGCTAGTCTGTTCAGAAGCCTGAATGTTCATATGATGTCTGTGTAATTTGCCTGTGTTGACCTTTGAACTATCTCTAGCCAACTGTCAGACAGCATCGTGACCAATACCAATGGCCACATAGGAAGTCCTGTTTCCATGAAGCCAAGACCCGGACCAGCAACACTGGACAGGTCAACCCAGACAGAGCCCACCCTTCCTGGGCAGGACACTGGGCAGGACAGGGCTCCTCCTCCTAGGCGTGTCAAGAGCCTACAACTGGAGGACGCCCTCCCCCAAGGGGAGTCCAAGGTTGAGGGGACACGGGCCAAGCTCCACCGCATCCCAGGCTTGGAAGAGGAGGATGAGGAGCAGGAAGAGGATGAAGAAGGAGGAGGGGAGCAGGAAAAGGAGCTGAGCTGGATGTCGTCAGTGGAGGAGCCCATTCAACCCACCACCATCAGAGGCCTCCAGAGGGAGGACTTCCAGGACAGAAGCTGCTCTCCGGAGGAGCCGGCCTCTGTTAGAACCTCAGACCAGAACCTCAGCTCCCGTGCCGGACCCCTGTCCCCCATCCAGGAAGGAGAGAAGAAACCTCTGTGCGTCCCCTTCACCGCCGTCTCTATAATCACCTTCTTTCTTGCGACTGATTGCATGGCTTTAATGGACAAATCAAAAATTTTTTATTTTGACTTGTGTGACTGCAAACCCCAGCTGTGCTCTCCTTATTCGACAGTCAGCTTCAGGTGTCCAGGGTGTGATTATTTTGTGTTAGAGCAGGAAACCAGAGGGGGGATGACATGTTCTGTCATCATGTTCACTGCAGCCTCCATGTGCTTTCTCCCCCGTTATTTGAGCAGGGGGCGAGGGGAAACATAAAGCTGCAGCTGAACATAATGGTGGCAGTCGTCCACACTGAGTGACATATCCAAGATCAGCTACACAGGGATTTGCGCCCAGTGGAAAATGTGATGTGAGGGCAATTGAACACAGCATAATGCACAAAAAGGACTGCAGGGTTAGTGTTTCATTATGTATACACTACAGAGTGAACGAGAAAGGTCAGGGAGTTCGCAAGACTATACAGATGTAACCTTTCAAGGACAGAAGAGATTTAGAAATGGTGTCCAAACAGCGTACGTCAGAGTTAATATCCATCAGAAGAACCTACAGAGTGGTCCTCTCTGTTACTGTAGCCACAGAGTATTAAAGCTGATGGTTCTGTAAGACGATGCAGATGTGCAGATTGACACACTGCCATTATCTGCTGTTCAACTGGGTTTTGCAGAAACACACAACTTGCCTTAAATCTTGAGTGTTTTTAATGCAGTTCTACTCTAATCAGTCCATTAACATTCTCTTCCTGAAACAAATCAAGGATCTCTTGCATGCTGTGATTCTCTACTGTCAGCTCAGATGATTGCCTTTCGAATGGTGATTAGAAAGCAGCCGGAGCACCAGTGCTTTTGTTTACTTGTGTATGTGCTTGTGCGTGCATGTGTTCTTTTGTACTACTTCCTTGTTGTGGCTTGTAAGAGATTCATTGGCAATGGGTAACACAAGCTCTAGTCCCTCAACTCAGCTCTGTCACACCCCTCCATGGAAAACTGAGGTACTGGGAGAGCTGTGCCTATGTACTCACCTTCTACATTCAACAATTTCTTTAAAGATTAGTGGTGCAGAAATTTGGGAGAAGGGGGTGGTCGCCAGCTGAGTTTCACTTCCTACATCTCAGGGCATTGACGTAGATAGACACTAAAGCTTTTTTTAGCACTGTAGCACTTCCTCTGGTGATGCTTCCTCAGAGACAATAAGAGCTTAATTATTGTTTACAACATGGTGTGTGAATGTGTGTTCTTGTTCATCTGTCCTTGTTGAATTTAGTTTCAGACCCTCAGAATGAGCACAGATTTTAGAAATTAGGTTATTTTCACCATTTTCCTCTACAAATTGCTAATTTAAGATTAGAAGAAGAAGAAGAAGTAGATATACTTTATTGATCCCCTAGGGGGAAATTGTTTTTTTCACTCTTTTTATACACACACACA